GTTGACCGTGAAAAAATTGAAACGATAGAGAAACTTCCTCCACCAACCACGGTAAAAGCCATCCGCAGCTTCTTAGGACACACGAGCTTTTATCGTCGTTTTATAAAGGATTTCTCTAAAATCACAAAACCTCTCACCCGATTACTTGAAAAAGATGCGGTTTTTATATTCTCCGATGAATGTCACCATGCTTTCCAAGCACTTAAAACACAACTGATCAATGCTCATGTGCTTGTGGCCCCGGATTGGAGTTTACCCTTTGAAATCATGTGTGACGCTATTGACTTAGTAGTGGGGGCCATTCTTGGTCAAAGAAAGGACAAGAACTTCCACCCAATCTACCACGCTAGCAAAACTCTATTAGGGCCACAACTCAACTACACCACCACTGAAAAAGAATTCCTTGCTATTGTTTGTGCTTTAGAGAAGTTTAGGACTTACATCATTCTTTCGAAGGTTATTAAATATACCGATCATTCGGCCATTAGATATCTCCTCCAAAAGCATGATGCTAAGCCTAGTCTGTTACGCTGGGTTCTTTTGTTGCAGGAATTTGATATTGAAATCAGGGACCAAAAAGGGGTCTGCTAATCAGGCAGCTAATCATCTTTCTAGGTTAGATGTCAAATGAGCAGAAACCTTTGGAAAATGCAAAGTTCAGGAACTTTTTTCCGCCGAGAGGCTGATGGCGATACCCGCCAAGGAACAAACACCGTGGTATGCAGACATTGCCAACTACCTTGTTGGTAAAGTCGAGTCTACCAAACTGACAAGGCACATGAAAAGGCGGTTCCTATCAGAAGTAAGGCACTATTTCTGAGATGGTCCATATCTATTCTGAATTTGTGCTGATCAGGTAGTGAGAAGATGTGTTACTGAAGTTGAGGGAAGAGACATTCTGGAGCATTGTCACAGCGGTCCTACTGAGGGCCACTTTTCAGGGAATAGAACCGCAAGATGGGTTCTGGACTGCGGGTACTTCTGGCCCACGATTTTTAAAGATGCTAATGTATTTGTTTCCTCTTGCGATAACTGTCAACGAATCGGGAACATTTCTGGGCTCAATGAGATGCCCCAACACTTTATCTTACCTTGTGAGGTATTTGATGTTTGGGGCATCGACTTTGTTAGACCTTTCCCAAGCTCAAGAGGAAACAAATACATTCTTGAGGCCATTGATTATGTTTCCAAATGGGTCAAAGCTCAGCCCTACATCACCAATGACTCTAGAGTAGTGAAAGTGAAACACGAAAAAGTGAAAGTGAAACATGAAAAAGTGCAAATTTCGCACTTTGCACGGGAAGACCACTTTTTATTTGAACTCTCCCCTGTATATATTGTTTCACACATATCAATATACAAAAAATCGTTCCCAATAAATTCGCGTGTAGTTTTACAAAATAAATTCCACTTTTGTTAAGTGAGTATTGTTTTTCTCTCATACATGGTCGTTCCGTAAATATTTCCAGTGGTTAAAATCGCAGTATTGGATAGGCATCACAAATTGGCCGGAAGGACCACAAATGATCAAGAAAAAATAGTGAAGTACCAAAAGTGAATATATTGAAAGACGCGAACTAAATGTAAAATTCACATAAAAACTCTTAGGACTAACATATTGAGACATGCACATCATTTTACTATAAATCATTTGATTTGCATTTCATTCTTTCACAATTTTTGGGTTGATTGAGTGCAAATAATAATGATTTTAAAAATGGGTTGAACAATCAATATCGCCCAAAGCATGGGGTGTAATGTCAAATTCCCTTGAGAAAAACATGTCCCATGAGAATGCATCCAAATAATATACCAATTTAATCAAATACGTACAAACATAGGGCCCGTTTGGTAATAGTCAAATCGGCTGTATCGGCTGATTCTGTTGAAATTTATGAAGCTCTAGCTAAAGTGGTTGCATTGAATGATTCTGCTGATTTATGAAGAAAAAATATTTAAAATATAATTTATTAATAAAATAAAGAAAAATTATATGAAAAAATAACTAGAACGGTCATATACAGTACTTCAGCCAATACAACCAGAATAGTAACTCCAACCTTACTTTTTCTTATTATTACACATTTCAACGCACAAAACCAAAAATTACGTGTTTGGTGAAAACGTTGGCTGATAAGCCTGAAAAGCCAAAAATCATGGTTACCAAACGGGCTCATAAACTTACTCGATCTCTACGCCTCTTCCCGGCCTCCATAGCGATGCCATCATCACTCTGAAAGCTGAAAAATTGATCATCATGTCCGTAATCTGCGCGTCCACCACCGGGAATACTGTTCGCTCCTCCCCGGAATCTTCCTCGGCTTCAGGTTCATCGCAATCTAGCTCCATTTCCTTGTCATCAACACCCATCTTACGATATAGGTCAACAATCTTCTCCATGTAGCAACTCCAGCCCCAACACAATTCGTCCCTGAGGCCGTCCGACAGCTCTCAGCCACCACTAACACTGACCACAGCCAATTCCGACTGAGGCGAACACCACCCAGGCCCGAATCCGAGCCCTTGAAAACCCAAACAACACCACAACGACGCCCGACCTTGCTTCATCCTCCGAAACCGCAGCCAAATCCGGCTAAAAGCCACCGAACCTCGTTATCAATGAGATCGGACAAAAAACCCTAGTGGCTCTAATCGCCCTAGAGAGAGATACTTTTGTATATATTTGGATTTTGAATCTATGAATTGATATATTGGGCATGTGAATTTGATCTATGCAATCAATATTCATTTTATTGAATCATTTCTAGGGAAAAAAGACATTTATCCTTTTAGCTTGATACAAATCAACATTAATACAATTCAGAAAACTCAGAATTAGGACCTATCGACCGTTTGTAAAAAGGGGAAATAAAATATTTGACATCAAGTTTCAACTTGACCATCAATAAGCAGGGCAAGGAGTACACGCTACTAGTAAAGCCATTGAACTCCAGATCTCCTCTATCGGCACGATCAACAATACTATTTCCTCTTGTAAGCCAAAATCCTCATGTAACCCATCCTTTATTATCCGGAGTGCTAATCACATTAGCCGGGTCACAAAAAAGAGATATCCACATACGATGAAGAGAAAAGACGAGAATGGTGTATGAAATAAGACAAGAGGAGAGAGTGACAAAGAATGTAACAGAGAATAACCTATAATGAATTCAAACAAATTTTCAAATATTTAGGAATAATATATTGTAGGTGTAATTTAAAACACATGGCAGATATTTACTGGAACATTTGTATCAGGTACCATATCTTCAAATTTAAAGAAGGTACCGCAGTTGTGACCAAAAAGGTCGTGCTGCGCGCACCCCATTTAGTATTTGGCGCACCCAATTATCACCACAACCTGACAATTTTATACTTGTTTAAATTTTTTGTTGCATCACTTCTAAGCATGGACGCCAAGTTCATACTTCATGGGTCATTCAGTTCAAACACTTTTTTCTACCCCACGATGCCAAGCTTATTTCTCTTTTGAGTTGATCCATTCTAATTTATGATTCTTTTCCGGCCAAATTGGTACTTCGTGTGGCTTATTTTATACTCTAGATTTAAACAAATTTGAATACTTTGTTTTTATCATGTTGCCAAAAATCCGTTAAAAAAACATACTGCCAAAAATATATTTTGATCATGTTTTTAGCATGTTTTTAATCATGTTTTAAATATATTTATGGCTTGTGTATGACTTACAAAAAGAAATAATACACTAAGAGCTCGTTTAGTGACACTTTTTTCGGCTTATCAGACTTATCGGCCAGTTTTTTTCCAAACACATAACTTTTGATTTCACGTGTTGTATTGTGTAATAAAAAAAGTACGATTGTTGTTACTTTTCTGACTGTATCGGCTGAAGTTACTGTACATGATCATTTTAACTATTTTTTCATATTTTTTTATTTTTTTATTAATAACAAATATTTTAAATATTTTTTTCATAAATCAGCAGAATCAACCAAATAGGCTCTAAAAGTATAGAAAAATGACAAAAATGTTACTTTGACACTTTTGGAAAATAAAGATATAACTAGTTTTCACTTTAAAAAATGTAACTAATCTTTGTTTAACTAATACTTCATATAATTTTCCTTTAATTCTGATTCACACCCAACTATCCACCCCTACTCTTGCCCCACCACCACTGGTGGACCTGCATATGTTCAAAAGTGTTCATGTGAACACCCAAAATTTTTAACTAGTAATGTGAAAATACATATATATGGGTGCTAGTGTAAAATTTTACTCCGTATATATGTATTTGAACACTCAAAACTTATAAAATAAATTTGAACCTTCAAAAGTTATGTACAAGATCTGCCATTACCCCCATTACTAACTTTGTCACTTTCTCTTTTAAGTAAAGAATTTGTGGTTGCAGTTAATTCTTTCTTCTTTGCACAAAACTCAATAACACAGTTTTTTTTATCGGTCAAACCTTGACAAAATATTAAGGGACGGAAGGAGCAGTAATTAGTACGGAGTATAAAAAATTAGGGAAAACAGTCAAATAGGTCCTCGAACTTTCATAAAAAGGTCAATTAAGTCCTTCTATAGGAGGTTCTGTCCGGCCGTCTCGATTTGGGGTAGTTCCCGGTGGAATTTTTTGATGAAATTTTTTCAGCATCTTACTCACCAAGTCTAGTTTACTCATACCAAATTTCAGCTAAAAATTCAATCGGAAAGACATTCAAATTAATTCTTGAAGTTAACTGCGCATTTTTACGTTCTTGAATTAGTTTGAATGCGCTCCCGATTAAATTTTTAGCTGAAATTTGGTATGAGTAAACTAGACTTGATGAATAAGATGCTCAAAACATTTCATCAAAAAATTCCACCGGGAACCGCCCCAAATCGCAACGACCGGACAGAGTCTCCTATAGAAGGACTTAATTGATTTTTTAATGAAAGTTCGAGGACCTATTTGACAGTTTTCCCAAAAAATTAAAAAGGGCATATGTATACTATGAGGGTTAGATGAAGCAATTTTGAAGGCCCAAAGCAACTCCCTAAAAAAAACTCCCGCTGCCTGTTTGGATGGCCGCACGTTTGCTAAAAACCCTTTCTTTAGAACTCTCTCTCCGCACGCCGACCGACCACCCCTGCGACTTCATCTCTGCGCTATCTTCGGCATGCCTTAGCATTGGACTTCTTCATTTTTTTAAGCATCTCTGCCATTAGAATCCGGATTCGTGCCGTTCGTTTTTGGATTCACAGGCTTGGGTTCGCAGATTCTCCGGCTCTTCTTGGACTGGACGGTTCTCAAATCCGTCTCCACCCTGACCAGTTTATCACCAGGTTCATATCCCTTTGCTTTTATCGTTTTTTCACTTCTCTTATGAATTTAATATATTCTGAGTTTGATTTAGCTTCTGAATTTACGCACTGATGTGTATAATGTCTGTTGTTAACTTCTCTTACAAATTCTATTGAGTTTTGAATGTCATGAAATTTATTTTAATGATCAATTCTGATTTTAAAATTGAAATTGAAATTGATTTACACTTTCAGTAATTCAGTATGAAGGTCATCTCTGTTATGGATTTTTTTTTGCATTTGCTGAAACTAAAATTTTGTGTGCTATGTTCTTAATTTCTGGGAGCTAAAGCTAATTGAAATGACCTGTTTAAAATTGTTTGGAATGAATAGATTTCTGTATCCAAAAATCTTTTTGAATGCTGAAAAGTTTAGATTTATGGTTTGATTTTATGTGAGTTGTGGTTGATTAGTCCGGAGCATGTGTGATTTGAGTGGGTGTATGAACTATTTCCAGCGATTCACTTTTATTTCCTTTTTGTTCTCTAACTTTGTGGCATCATGAAATCAGTTTTCAGTTTTGGTTTTCATGTTACTCCCCAAAAACCTGGATATAGTCATGTAAATTGCTTAATTTTATACTCCGTATGTTTTAAGTTTGATTTAGATTCTGAAATAAGTGCACCAAACTATAGTTTATGCAGTTATTAACCCCTGCCTTCCATTTTGTATTGGAACTTTGTGTTATATAATATACTTGGTGTATCTAAAATTTATTTTGTGTATCATACCATATCATAACCTATTCCATTTTATAGTGTGCAATTTGACCGTCCGGAAATCCTTCTTCCAAGTCCAAAAACCCATATACCCAATACTCCAAAGCAAAGGACAGCAGGCCTGAAACTTCATGCGCTCATCAGAAATTTAATCGGACAATCGCTACAGGCGTACAATGCTACTCTACGTCTCTGCCTCCATTCTATTTCTCTAGCCGGCTAGCCGCTACTCGACACCCGACAGCCTCCTCTCTCGAATTGAAGGTAAATTTCATAATTTTTTAGTTTTATTATATTTTTTATATTCAGTTTAGCTCCTCTAATTGCAGCCTATATTCAGAATTGGAGATTCCGGAATTGCAGATCTTGGTTTTCTATAAATCAAAGGCGTTTAGCCATTGAGGCGCAAAGGCGTTAAGGCGCTCGTTATTCGCCTGAGAGGCTTAAGCCTTATCTTCTGCTAACAAGGCCTACGCCTTAGATTTGCTGAGGCGTTGAATCGGCCTGGTGCGCAAGTCGGAGACGAGGCGTACGCCTCTAATTTACGCAAATTTTGGGCTTGTTTTTTAAATTATTGGGGCCTCAATTTTATTTTCATCCTAAAATTATACCTGCTAAGTCAGCCCAAGGCTGGATATCAACTTAGCCATATCCGCTGGTCTTCCAATCGGCAATCGTTGGTCTTCCAATATCAACAAACGACTTCCAGGAGTGCTGTTCAGCTTACTGTATCAGTCGAATCCGTACTGAGGTGCTTCACTGCTTCGAACATCACATTCCCACCGCCTAACTTCTTAATTTGTTATTGCGTTCATATTCAAGTTTTTTTATTTAACTTTTTTACGTATTTAAAGTTCTGTTTTGAACTATTTCAAGTTAGTATTAAATAGTACTCCTATAATGCACTTCCTGATCTTTGTTAGTTTGTCATTTAACTTTATTATTGTATTTATCAAGCCTACCGTTTAATCTTGATGAGTTGTCATACAAAACTATCATTTAGCTTAGTAATTTATTTGTTATGTGTTATTCGAGTTTTATGTTATTTTGACCTGGATATTTTAGTGTTATGTAATTTTTACTTGTGATTTTGTTTAGCTGTGATATTGTTTAATATTTAAGCAATTAATTTCGAGGCTTATGCCTCGTTACGCCTAGAGCCTTACGCCTCACAAGGCTACCACCGAACGTCTCGGGGCTCGATTTCGCCTTTCAAACCCTTGCTATAAATTAGTATTCTTTAACTCTTGAAGTCTTTAACTCCTTCAAGCCTTACTCGTTTTATTCTTCATACTTTCAGTGTGAATTTAGGGCTTTATATTCATGTCGTATGATGTCCATCTTTCAAATTTAAACATAATATTGTCATGGTAACATGGTTAGCATATGAACCATGAAGTTGGTTTAAAAACGGATAAGTTTATTTCCACTATTCTTGCATGTTTATGTGCAAAAGTAGATGCAGATATCTAAGATGTTTCAAAATATTAACAAAAACAAATTACTTCGTTTGTATATGAACACATGTACATGTATACTTTTAATACTAAAAAGTAGGATGTTCTATGGCCCAAAAAAGCCAATATGCTGAACTTAGTTGAACATGTCTTCCTTGAATGTATTTTTCTTCTAAACAAATTGCTACACGAAGTACAAAAATTGTAAGAACTTAATATGTCAATAGTTTCTTTGTTTTTGAAAGCTTAGATGTTTTCTTGAATTTGTGTTTGATTTGTGCTTATTTTTTCACATCAGCGTAATTGTTATACGGAGTATATACGTTTTTTCTCTTATAAGTATATGGTGTCAATGTTTATATATACTCCCTCCGTATTTTAATGTTTGCTACACTTTCCTTTTTGGGATGTATTTAAAAGTTTGCTACACTTCCATCTTTGGTAAGTTTACCCTTTTTAAAATACTCAACTACCCTTACTTTATCTACCTTTTATCTTCTCTTCCATACATTTACACACTCTTTCCTACTTTTTCTACCGCTACTACTTTACTTCTTAAATAATGTGCCTAACCAAATGTGTGTATGTTTGTGTATAATTCATTGTAAATAATGCGTTAAGATATATGACCATTTTAATGTTTTCTTAGACTAAATACTCCCTCCGTAACTTAAAAATCTTCCCACTTTCCTTTTTCGTCTGTAACACAAAAATCTTCCCATTTCTAAATCTTCCCATCATACCCTCAATAATTCTTAAAATAATACACTATTACAACTACTTTTTTTGGATTTATCCTACATTCCACCACATTATTCCACTATTTTCCCATCCTACCCTCAATAATTCATATAATCTTTCACTATTCTTAATCTACCTACTTTTGAAATGGGAAGATTCTAAAGTTACGGAGGAAGTATATCTCATGATACCTTTATTAGAATAAATTTTATTGATGCATTCTATGTTTATTGTCCAGGTGTTACATGGTGACTGAAGAAATTACAAAAAGAGGGGCAAATGTGGAAAAATCAGCAGAATAACTGTTTATAGGTAAGTAGACAATTATAAAATCTCTATTTCACTATATTGGCTATTTAGTTAATATTTAAGAACCTCTGGCATGTGAAAGTTCTTTTGAAACAAAAGCTTTATTTAAATTCAGTTATGGCATGCAAAGTTGAATTGAAATATATTTTCAAAGAAAATTAAATAGATGTTCACTTGTTTTCTTAAGCTTTTCATTCAAGAATTTCAACTGAAATATAGGCTTGTAAAGTTCAATTAAATTATGGTTTTGAATTTCAATTTAATGACAGTTTGGATATTTAAAGTTAAAAAGTATCAAGGCTTCACTGGAAATATTTATGGATAAGCTCTGTAGTACGTAAATATATTCAATTTACATTTTGTACTTGACAAACTTATGCTGAGTGAAAATTTGAGAAGTTACGCAATATTAAAGATATACTACGTACTACATATTTCCTGTTATGAAGATATTACAGAGTATTATTTACGTATAAGCTCTGTTGCTTGGAGTCTTGGACTGTACTTCTGCTAAAAAAAGATGTAAAATGGCCTCCTAAGTATCCAATATTTCGATATGAAAATTGAGAGAAAATGCACTTTTCAAACACGTGGTTTCATTCATTAAATGCAATTTATAGAGGGTTGTTGTAGACAGGTTATCTTAACCGGTGAGCCTATCTGAACGGCTGGTTGCCTGGTTAGTGGGTATCTAAACTATACAACATTATCTATAGCGTATGTCGTGTTATATAACTGCCCTATCCACGTTTTTTGAGGTATTTGCCAACTTCGTTTTAAATTTCCTTTTTGGTAGTCAAATTATAATTGTTGGGCCCACTATTGTCTTCACGTTTTAGATAGTGCAGAGGACGAAAATTGTATTTGAACTACAATATAATAAAGTATATGGAGTATATGGTAACTTTGTGCATATAATTATGTAAGTAGCGAGACTATTGTTACTCTTCTGGAACATTGATAACTTACTAATTATTTTTTAATAAAATCCATCAGAATATCAGATAGGCAGATAGCATATTGAATTCTTCAAAAGATAGATTAATAAAGACGGACTTTTTAGATCAACATAGTGACTGATACTTCCCATTTATTTATTTGATTTTCATAAGAAAAATTGTTCATTATATAATATTTGCTAACTGCTATCAATTAATTTAATTTGTCAGGAGGCTGAAATAATGTAACTGGCCCACGGTATACAAAGTTTTGGAACGCCTTGTGTTAGCTAGGCTTGTGATTTCATTGTATTCTTGGACTATAGTGCCAGAGTTATTTTTAGTAGTAATCCCCTGTACATATTTTTTAACGTGGCCCATATAATGCAGCTATACAGACGGTCAGAATAATATCGGCAGAGAGCCAAGACCGCCATTGGCGATTATTTGGTTATATTAGTTGAAAATACGCACACCATAGGAAAGAACGTCCGAGAGAATGGAGAGATTGTGTGACATGTGTGGAAATATGGGGTTAAAGGATGGCGATGATGGATTCTTTTATTGCACCCTCTGTGGCTGTCGTGCAGATGATGTCATGGATACTGCTGTTGAAGAAGCTGACACCGGTTTCGAGGGTGGGATCTATTCTGCGTCTCAGACACGGGCTCGTCCTAGACAAGTGGCAAGTCAGCCACCATCTCAATTCATGGATTCACAGTGCCAATATCTAGAGAATGATTGTGTGGTCAATGGTGTTGTCCCTACTGACCCTATAAATGACACTGGTTCCTTGCCCGATACTTTCACTTCTCCAGACTTCTATTATTCAAATATCAGGCTGAAGTATATTATGGGCGTTCAAATCATGATCCAGTTGCAGTGTAAGGCTTTGGTGGAGAAATTTAACGTCAGCCCTTTAATTATTGGACTCATTAGACCTATTTGGCTGAGATATGTTGCTCATGAAAGGATAATGGCTGATGATTGGGGAGACAATGTTATTAATGAATCAGAATCCCAACCTGGGGAACTTGGCGAGTTCAAGATTCATGTTAGGCGCAAAGGAGAACCTCACAACCTTCTTGGTAAACGGTTAATACCATTGTGGTATGAATCTCTGAGAAGTAAGATCCCATTATCTAGTTCTCTGGCCATATCATATCTTGTTTGTCATTTAGCCAGGGAGGCAATCCTGCCAACGGACATTGTGAATTGGGTTCTTGAAGGAAAACTTCCATATTTGGCTGCTTTTGTTGAAATTGAGAAGCAACTTGGACCTCCGTCAAGGGAATGTCCATTAAGTTCTAGTCGTATGTTCCGACCTATTGAGGTTATCTCCACACACAAGCTAGAGTCATTTGCTGCTTCAATTGCCCGGAGAATAGGTTTAGAACTACCACCTGTGAATTTCTATGCTCTAGCTTCCCGTTATCTGATAGAGTTATCTCTTCCAGTTGAATGTATTCTTCCTCATGCATGCCGTGTACATGAGTGGTCTATGCCTCCACAGCTTTACTTGTCTGACAATGAATGCAGCCTTCCATCCCGCGTTTATGTTATGTCAATAATTATCGTAACAATGAGGATTATATATGACATAAATGGGGGGAAATGGGAAATGATGTTATCTGGACCCGATGATCAATCTATGGATGAAAAGAGTGATTTAGCTGAGGAGGAAGTCAATTTTGATGGTTCCAAACTGCTTCAGATTCTTGAAACAAAATATTCAGAGCACAAGCATATTCATGATTATGCACTAGATCTGCCTACATATCTTCAACACTGTAAAGATGTGGTTTTTGCTGGATTAAATTCGTCATTGGAGGACCATGAAGAAGAAAGTCTGATAGATGAACTATGGGACCTCTATGAAACGAGTAAGGATGCTGAACCATCAGATGACCATAAAAAGAGTGAGGAAATCAGGGAGAGTGGAGGCGATTTCAGCACAATGGGTAATTGTTCAAAGTGTCCATTGGATGATTCTGAATCACCAGTACATGCAAGTTCTATGAACTCATATAAGGATCGGGCGGTACGGCAAATGAAATCAAATATGGAGGAAAATCGGTTTTCTTATCTTCCACCCATTAAATCCACCTTGAAGAACCATGGTTACATTCGATATGCTAGAAGGAAAGATGGTGCCTTGATATATGCTGTTCATGCTGATTATTATATCATACTTCGCTCATGTGCACAAATTGCACAAATTGATATGAGGACCTTGCATATGGGTGTTTTGACCTTTCAGAGGTGGCTGGAACAGATGGAAAAGAAAATTGATATTTGTTTGCGTTGGAACTTCCCAGGGGACTCTTGTGATTTTTGCTGCGATTGAGTTTCAAGATGAAGATCAACGCTTCAGTCACTGAGTAATGCATTCTAGCTTCGTATAGATTTACCTTTGTATATCTGTGGCTTTTTTTTTGTATAGATTGAGTTAATCACCATGGTTATGGAAATCCTATGATGGCATGAAATCTTAAGACATGATAGTTCACTATTGATGTTAACCTCCTCTATACTTAATAGGAGTACAAATTGATCTGGACCGTTCATTTTAAAATGATCTGCACCCTACTTCCATTTCTTTTCTTTTACTTTGTATCACTGATCTATTGCCTTTGATCCTCTTCCCTCTTTCTATCTTTCCATCTCTTTTTCAAGCAGGTTTTCCATCTCTTTCCATGTTCGACAAACAGGTTTTCCATCTCTTTTCCATGGCCATCAAGCAGCTCCTTGCCGGAATGGAACATCACGCTACAATATCCGCCGGCGCCAGAGAAGAAATTGGTTACTGGAATCAATTATGTGTACCAGGCAGCTTCTTTGTTCCAAATCCATCTCTCAATTCCTTTGCTAAGTTAAGAAAGCTTCACTTTTTGCACATTCAAGCAAAGCAAACATTGGTTTTGTGATTCTTACTATTTCTATATTTTCTATATACATCTTACTAATAGGACTGCAGTTTGCATCATTTTCACCTCTATATATGTGGATATTTTTATTGCCTCTGAAAATTGGGTGAGATAATTTAGTTATGTGTACTTGAACAACATAAAGTTAGTTTTCATATTCAGGCTGGAATCAATGCTTTGTACCAGGCAGCTTCTTTGTTTTCAAATTCAGTTCTCGATTCCTTTGCTAAGTTAAGGAAGCTTCAAGTTTTGTTTTTGTAAGCAAATGAAGTATTAGTTTTATGGTAGATACAGAGAGAAGCACATTGTGGGGATATGTTTAGCATTTGTGATTATTGTAAAAGACATAAGCATGCACCAGCGCCATATTCAAACGGTTCATACCCACATGGAAAACTGACCACGAGACAACAACTTTTGTCCCTAATAATGAACACCCATTACCCCAACATGTGGCTCTCATGCCAAAATGCAACTTTTCTTTCTTCTTTAGCTATGGTTTGGGTCTTTGGGAACACTAAGATTATAAGTAGTGAAAAATGCAATTTTTAGTATAACACATTGCAAATTTTTAGTTGGAGAAAGTGATCATATCTAGTGTTTGCTTGCCTAAAAGTGTTTGTTTGCCATTTGCCTCTGCCTAAACTGTCACTGCTTTCTTTCAGAGATATAATATGAGTATTATGATTGCAAGAAGTGAAAAAATCTTCATTTTTAGTTCGCCCTTCAGTGAGAACAAAGGGATATAACTAAAAGTTTAGTTCAAGGAGTAAAATTACATATCCGTACAGTGCATATACAGGTTCTTTTAGAAAAAAAGTGGACTTCTTTCTCTTAATAAAGTGCACGAAAAATTTGCAATGCACGTAATGCCAGCCCCCCCCCCCCTAAATATTCCGTCTAAATTATTTAGGTTTCGAATTATCTTCAGTCTTAACTGGCATGTCTATATTCTTTTATCTGAAAACCAAAGGATATAATTATTTAATCAAGTTCAAGACTTAGATTATATTACTAAATTATAGTATACACGGGATGAAAGGAATGCACGTTAAAGGAATGCTATGACAACGAATGATGTTTCCATAACTGGGAGAAACCAAGCTTCATGCATTCTGTTTAATGTCATGTAATGTAATGTCATGTGATGCAGGGGCGGATCCACACCTTCAGTAGGGGGCAGCTGCCCCCAATAAACTCTAAATAATCCCTTGCATTATAATAGGAAAAATTAGAGTCCATGTATTTGCCCTCAATAGAAAAAACTAAATGCCCCCAACTCTAGGCAGCCCAAAGTAAATTAATATGTAGTACGGAGTATGCTCCATATACTTATGGGTGGACCGGTTCCGGTTCGGGCCCGGTTCGGGCCTGGGCCCGGCCGGGCCTCGGTTCAGAAATGGGAGGCCCGGAACTGGCCCGGGTAATTCCGGGTCCGGGCCGGGCCGGGCCTCGGTTCTATTTTTTTTTTGGCTTTTCCTAATTAACCTCCAACCCTCCCCCTCACCCCCAAACCACCCCAAACCACCTCAAATGGCCCAAAATACCAAGCCCAACCCAAAAACTTAAAAAAAAAATCAAAAAAAAAAATAATAATTTGGCCCGAACAGGCCGGGCCGGTTCGCCAATCAAAGGGCCCGGGCCCGAACCACACAGTAACCGGGCCGGGCTGACCCGAACCGCCTCCCGGACCGGTTCCCGGGCTGGGCCGGTTCAAACAGTAACCGGTCCGGGCCGGTTCCGGGCCGGGCCGCCCGGCCCGAGTCCATCCCTACATATACTTCAGCATCATGCCCCTAAAAAACATTACGTACTATATCCTTATAGTTAGAATGAAGATAAAGCAGAAATACGGATAATTTGTATGTGTTAATTAACTATTTGAGTAATTTGATTATTGATTAGAAATAATTACATATATACGACTAAAATGAAGATTGTTTATAAAAATGTGATTAGTGATTAGAGTAGTAATGTAATCATGGTAACTTATACTACCTCCGTTCTTAAATAAGTGTAACATGCTAAATTTTACACTATTCACATGTTCTACTTTGATTACATTTTATTTATTGATGTATTAATATATATTTTTGTTGAAAATATTATTAAATTTGTCTCGTTGTATATTTTCAAAATCTGTTTTTTTAAATTTTTTTTACTAATAGAGAATTATAAATTTTAATGGTCAAAGTTGTGTCTCGACAAGTGTGAAATGTTGACTGTTGCACTTATTTAAGAATGGAGGAAGTATATAATTTTTGAGCCATAGTTACTATGATCCTACATTGTAGTAACTATTAGTCACATTTTTGCAAACTAGTTTTATTTTGGTAATATTTTTGAAAAAAAAACCTATTGATTATTGTATTATATGTATATATTAGAGTGTTATTGTGTAATTATTTGTGTAAAAATAGTTAATTTGTTAAACTTAAAAATCTAAAATTTGCTACAATCTATAAAAAGTATGAGGATTTAAGAAATTAGAAAGCCATATCAAATACTCCCTCCGTCTCAATATAAAAGGCACATTTGCGTTTCTAGACATTTTAAGGGTGAACACTGTTTGACACTGTTTAGACACTGTTTGACACTGTTTGGCACTGTTTGGCACTGTTTTGTTTGCCAAAAAGGGAAATGTGCCTTTTATATTGGGACAGAGGGAGTATAATTTTTACATAGTTACCGCTCTAGCTAGGAGAAGGTTTGAGATATATAAAGAAACAAAAGAGTACATTAGTTATTAAATAATTAATTACACCTTTTCATCAGATTTTATGAATAGGTTTTTGAATAAAACAACCTCCTCAACACTGGAAAATTCAAATTCAAATGTGGGTAGTAGTATTTCTCAATGTGCAATTTCAATTCATGAAAAAATTAATTTGAATGAGCTTCCTTCGGACCCTGCTAAAAGAAGATAAATCTTTGAATATCATCCAAATCAAAGGAATGAAACTCAGAGAAAATATTTGATGGAAGATTCATGCCAACCATGTGGTCATGACTTTGAGATGGTTTAATTGCAAATGGTTTGACCAATATAGAATCTTAAAGATAGATTCAACTTAGCTGGTTGCCACAACAACTGTTGTTCTATGAAAATAGTGAAGACTAATTTTGATAATAGAATCGGTGATCGGGTTTCTTAGCGACTGTCTTGTTTGCTTTATAGAAAGAGATCTGATCTATTTGAAACTCTCACAAATGAAATTATAATAGATCTCTTTCAAAAGATGATAACTCGAAGAGAACAATTGTATTTCACTTTTTAGGGGGTTTTGGTCAGCGGCGAAGCCGGGACACTAGACCAGAATGAGCCGGTATAAAGAATATTTTTTTAAAAAAATTACACGAATCAACCTATCTAACTTTTTCAAATCCATCTATGTTAAAATTGCTATGTTTTTCCCCTCCATTTTCCTATAGAACAACACACTTTGTTAGTCATTCTTTCTAAGTGAAAGACGAACCCTTAATAGCACCAGTGGTTTTATACATTTCAATTTAAATAGTTGGTCGACAGATCCTTTTAACCGATTGAGAAGATCTGTTTTTGTCATTCGAAAATTCACTTCTTGAGCCTCTTTGAATGGAAAATGCGCCCCTTAAATGAGTAAAATCAATGCAAGATTCAGTAGACGAGTTTATGAGAACTTTAGCTTTTCTCCCCATATCATAGTTCCACATTTTAGATATGTATTTGTTTAATTTGTTCACATTATTGTTCTTGTATATTTTTATTTATAATCGACTGGATTGATTTTTCAGCTCTATCTTTTAAAAAAAGTTTTAACGGTTTAATAGTGTTTATTTAATATACACATTACATCTTGATAGGTACACAACAATTTGTCAGTAAAGTGAAGTAGAAGTAAGATGAAATTGATCAACTAAAAAGAGAACAGTCAAAATTGAAGACGGAAACTAATGTTTTGTTGCATCACCGTGTTGATATGCCGAGACTGAGGCTGTGTCAAACTATAAGAGTGTCAGGTTACATAATAAGGATGTTTTTAGTTGGACTGTAATTTGCTGGTCTGGTCTGAACTGGTCTGGTCTGAGACAAATTACAGTCCAGACCAGACACTGGTCTGGTCTGGACTGTAATACTAAGGATGTAATACTGTAATGGGAATTATTGTTAGATATGGATCATATACCTGGAATCATTATTCAAGAGCCCAGTCTAAAGAAAGACACTAAAGCAAGAGATCGGTAAAAATTTCAGCCCATAAAGAGTGAAGTGGCCTGGTTCATCACTTTAGGTCATGTTGTCTATTAAGCAATTGATTCATATATCACACATGTAAAATGGACATATACTTTCAATTCAAGAACCAATAAGTAAAATATACCAAACAAGGAATAATATAAGTAAACACCTTAATTTGCAAAATAGGTGTACCCAAAAGATTAGCCGAACAAAACACTCTTAAAAGTAGTCCTTACACAAGAATTAGTGGTGGACCGGGCTTGGTCCGGTTCCGGCTCGGGCCTAGGCCCAGCCGGGCCTGGAACATTTTGGGTTAAGGCCCGGAACCGGCTTGGGTTCTACCGGTTCTGAGCCGGTCCGGTTCCCAGTTCAATTTTTTTTTTTGTTTTCTTATTTATTTCAACCCCTACCGCCCATCCCCCCACCCCAACCCCCTCGGAAACACCCAACCCACCTAAACCCATCCCAAGTCAAAAAAAAAAAAAAAACAGGCCCGAACCGGGCCGGTTCTCCTTTTTAAGGCATCGGAACCGCCCCGGTTACCCCCTCGGGCTGGGCCTAGGCCCGGAACCGGTTTCTTGGGCCGGGCCGGTCCCACACAGTACTGGGCCGGTCCCACACAGTAACGGGCCGGGGGGATTGAACCGGGTCCACCACTACATAGAATTAAATTCAAAAGATCAAGAAGGGATGATGGGGAAGAAGGTTTTGTTGGGGTGCTTAAATATTTTTCAACATACCAGTCCCATTATAAATAGTAGCCATCACGGCCTCACATATCCATAAATGTAGTAACTAGTACAGTACTTAGTAAGTACTAGTCTAATTGAAAATAAGCACATACTCCGTATAAATTAAATAGTGTGAAGTTTTGATTTATGATGTTTGATTAATCATAAAATTAACTCATCCATATTAATAATAAGATTAAAGTTTTATAAAATCACATTTATGATGTTTGATTGATTACAAATTTGATAAAAGTTGGATATGTAAAGTAAGAGATTAAGAAAAATTTAAGTTGTAATACCTGAGATTTATGTGGTTGTGTAGGATTATTAATTCGAAAATTTTCCAAATTAGAAGTAAAAATTATGTAATATTTCAATTAGGAGTGTAATGTTTTCTTCTTAAATATGAGTAAAACAATCTAAGAGCATCAAATTATAACTTAATTTGTTAGGATATGTCAAATATGAAAAATTCGGAACATAGCTCCTATTTTTATGATCTAGATAAGTTTCTTAGCCGGAAAATAGATTTGGGGTGTTTAACTTTTAGGAGTAAAAGATAGGCAAAATGCAAAAATAGGAGTACCATGTTTTGAATAGGAGTAACTTTAGTGTTTAGACAAGTATATCCCTACCCAAGTCCCAACAACTTTCATTAATAATTAAAACATAAAAGAAATAACATTAATTTGTAATAAAATTGTAAAAAAATGAAAAAACACAAAAATATATCAA